ACGTGCGCAAGGAGTGAGGCTGAGGCCATTCAGCTCTAGCCCGGGCAACAGAGTTGCTCTTGTCTCAACAAACAAAAAAAAAAAAAAAAAAAATTGGGTGGGACACTGGAAAGGCAGATGGTTCAGGACTCAGCTACACTTCTCAGATACAATGGTTGAACCAGATGACCCAACTCAGGCTTGTTTATGGACGCTGTGGTTCAGTGGGGAAGGCAGAAACATAAACAAAACACTCTATATATGGGATTACAGATGGTGTGTACAAACCACTTTGAAAAGGCCAAGAACACAGGGCAAGTGAGAAGTAGGATGGGTCTGCCCAGGGGGACCCTGCTGGATGGTGAGGGACCCACAGCACATCCTGTAGTGGGAGGAAAACACGTGCAGGCTGGAGAGCATATGTGCAAAGGCTCCTGAGGCTTTGAAAGGTTCAGGGTACTTTTGTTCACGCAGAATGAAGAGAGATAACCGGGAGCAAGGGCTCGAGAGATTGGCAGGGTGGACACCGCAGTGCGCGCCCTCCGGCGGAAGCATTTGAGCTGGGCGTGTTGCACTGTTATCCCAAGGGTTCAACGAAAAGTTGTTGGGCATTTAGCAGGGAAAGGACAGGAAAAGTCGCACGTGTCCATGCGTCAGATATGCGCAAAAGAGGTCCTCCTACTCACGCGTGTCCTTCGATGCTCCACCTCGTCACTGGGACAATGTCCGCTTCTTAGGAAGAGTCTCTTGAAAACAACTCGTTCTTGGAGGAGATCAGTTCCCCTCCATTTTTCAACCGCCCTCCTTGTAGGTCAGCCCCCGAAAGGAGAGGCAAACCCTTGGAACAGGAACTTTCTCCAACTTGCGCAGAAGACCTCAAGAAGCGCCTTGAAAAGCGGCTAGTGGAGCACGGTAGGACAATCAGAGACCGGGGGCACTCCCTTAGCACCACCAATGTATTGAAAGGCCTGTGGGACTTCTGATTAACATCTACCAGGCACTGGACCGGGCACAGTGGGCTCGACGGCCTGTAAATTCTAGCACTTCTGGGAGGCCGAGGCGGGCGGGATAGCTCCAGGTCGAGCTTCAACCAAGCCCTTGAGGCAAGAGCGAGACCCCGTCTGCTTGACTATAACATAGAAAGACAATTAATTGGGCCAACTAAAACTATGTAGAACAAAAGAATGAACCAGGCATGTCTTGGGTGGTGCGATATGCCTGTGTCCAGTACTTCAGGAGCTGAGGGCAGTGAGGATGGCGTTCCCAGGAATGAGTTGCTGTGGAGCTTAGGCTGATGGCACGGCACCTCAACTCTAGGCCTGGGCAACAAGCAAAGACTCTGTCTCAAAAAAAAAAAAAAAAAATCTACCAGGCCTTCCCCACTTCCTCACCTAATTTATCATGCCTGCAGGGTGGACATGGTAGCAGTACACCCATTTTGCAGCTGAGAGAATTGAGGCTCAGAAAGGCAGAGGCTGGGTGGCTTGGCTAAGGCCGCACAGCTAGGAAGGACCATGACTGGTACCTGAACCTGAATTCTTTCCACACTCTTATCCTGTCCTGCTCTCTTGCCACAGTGCTCCCCACCATTGCTGCTTACAGAGGGAGGGCAGGGTAAGTTTCCTGTAGGGAGACAAGGCCGGGACTAGGAAAGGCAGTGGGGGAGGGCAGGAAGCAAATGGGGTGGGCAGGTTATCCTGGGGTGTCTCTGGGCTGCACAAGGAGGGTGGAGAGAGGAGGGAACAACCAACAGCAGCAAAAAACAAGAGTTGGGGGTGGTCGAGATGAGGAAGTTCTGGGGGGCCCAATCCCTGGATTATGGGTGTCCTGGAGGCACCTTGGATCCCAGCTGCCTGCTAAAGATGAGGACAGGATCCTGGCAAAGCACATGTGTAAAAACAGACACTCTACCTCCTGCTGTCTCCTTAGGTGTGGTGCCTTGTCCAAGTCTCTCCTCTCTCTCTTTTTTTTTTTTCTGGAGGACAGAGTTTTCGTTCCGTGCAGGCTACGAGTGAGTGCCGTGGTGTCAAGCCTACGCTCACAGCAACCTCAGACTCCTGGTCCAGTCACTCCCTGCTCAGCCCTCCGCAGTAAGACTGGACTACAGGCATGCCCACCATGCCAGCGATTTGTTTCGCCTATATTTTTTCTATATATATTAGTTGGCCAATTAATTTCTTTCTATTTATAGTAGAGACAGGGTCTCGCTCTTGCTCAGGCTGGTCTCAAACTCCTGACCTCAAGCAATCCTCCTGCCTCAGCCTCCCAGAGTGCTAGGGGCCAGGCCCAGATCTCTTCTCTAGATTGTAAGCTCCTCAAGGGGTAGATCTATGTCTTCCTCAATAGCGTACCTCCCAGAGCCTGATGCCGCTAATATGTGTTGAATGAATGAGAGCACAATGAGTAGCCATATTACAGTGATGCCCGGGAGAGCAGGATAATACAGACTGTCCACAGCTACTGGTGGTACCCAGCTCCAGAGAGCTGAGCCTTGATCTATGTCATTGCCAGAATCTTCCAAGGACAGGCTAGGATAGGGACAGCCTACTTGGATCCATAAAAGGGCAATTCAAAACTCAGGTTGAACAAGCCAGAATTAGAGCCTGGAGGATTTGAGCCTGGAGGATTCATAGCCCAGAATTTGAAAATGAAACCAAGCCTTTTTCCCCTAGGGGGAGGAGGGGGCTGGATTTTGGAAATGCATCAAGGGAAGCTGACAGGTTTCTGCATGTTTGGGTGAGCCCAGGGACTCAGGCCAGAATATTTAAAAAATGCTTATCACCATGCCTTCCTGGCACTGTGGACCCAAGTGGCCAAGCAGGCTGCTGCCTGTGCAGAGAGGGGAGCAGGGATGTTTCTGCCCCCAGCTCCTCCTGCACTGGCTGAGACCCCTCCAGGCCCTGTTCCTGCACCTGCCCTTGCCCTTGGGACCTCCACCCAGGGGCTCTGAAGAAAAGAAAGGCTAGGACTAGCTTTGGTTTGGAAATGAGGGTTCTTGGGGGGCTCTTTGGCTTCTACTGTGCTGTGGGTAGAGGAGCAACCGAGACTCCCTCTCTGGTCTCCTTTTTTTGTTGTTGTTTTTTAGAGACGTGGTCTCCCTTTTACTCAGGATAGTCTTGAACTCCTGACCTCAAGCAATCCGCCCGCCTTGGCCTCCCAGAGTGCTAGAATTACAGGCATGAGCCACCTCGCCCCGCCCTGATCTCCTTTAAATAACAGGATTCTCAAAACTGGTCAGATCTTGACAATTTTCTGTCCAAGTAGGGAAATGAGGTCCACAGGGGGGCAACTTGTCTGAAAGACACACAAGTTCAAACCATGACATGCTGATTCCAAGTCAGACTGTTCTATAAGCCAAAATTCAAGGAACTCTCAACCTTCTAACTTAACAGACAGCAACTGTTAGGTTAAAGAGTCTGGTCAGTGAAAAACAACTTAGGAATACTAGCCTTGGCTCCACCACCCTTTCCCTGAGGGCATCACCTTTGCCTTGTCCTGGAGGTGGGAGCACTGTCTTTAGGACAGGCCTCAATGCTCTGGTTAAGAATGCAGCTCTGGCCAGGCCTCAAGCCTGTAATCCTAGCACTCTGGAAGGCCAAGGTGGGAGGATCACTTGAGCTCAGGAGTTCGAGACCAGCCTGAGCAAGAGCAAGACTCTGTCTCTACTAAAAATAGAAAAAATTAGCTAGGCATGGGGGTGCTTGCCTATAGTGTCAGCTACTTGGGAGGCTGAAGCAGGAGGATCACTTGAGCCCAGGAATTTGAGGTTACAATGAGCTATGATGATACCACTGCACTCTCTAGCCAGGGCGACAGAGCAAGACTCTGTCTCCAAAAAAAAAAAGATTAAAAAAATCTGTAGATGACCGACTGGGTTAAAGTCTTGCTTCTGCCACTTCCTTGCTCTGTAACTTTGGGCTAGTTACATATCACCGTGTCCCTTATTTTTCTCATTTGTAAAATGGGGGAATGAGTAGATTATAGGGTTGATGTAAGAATGAGTTGATTGAGACTGCACTCTATCAATATTAGCAACTGCTGTCTAGGAAGGGGATTGTGACGCCTAGAGGGGTTCATTCAGCCCTTTGTCAGCACATGACCTTAGACCCAGAGCACCCTACAATAGATCCTGCAGAACTGCCAGAACAGGACACTTTCAGTGGCCTCTTCCTCCTAAGCCCACTCTCCTCGATCCCCAGATCACTAGAGGGCCCTGTGTTTTTGCAATTTGGGGACAGACAGAGCGGTATGGACCTGAACCATCTGGCCTGACCACCACTTGCTACACAGAATCCTTGGGCAAGGCACTTTCTTAATGTCCTGGAGCTTCTGCTTTTTCATTTGTAAAAATGTGAATCCTGTACTAAACCCCATCTACCAGGGTGGCTGTGGAGACTGTGTGCCTTCCCCGGGAGGGGTGTGTGGACTGAATTCAAGCCGATCTGCCCCTCCCTCTCACTGGAGCACCAACCACCACGAGGCCAAGTTCTTGGATTCCTGGCCTCTTTGGCTCTAACACTGAAAGCTTGGGAAAACAAGATGCCCTCTTTGTGAAGACCAGGTGGATTGCACCATCCCTGGCCTCCTGAGTCATGGTTTACCGGGGACTCGAATGAGCCCTGTCACCTAAGATGGCTCCCATTCACACACACACACAGTCTGCCAGGTGGAGTGACCTGAGTCCTAAGGTGAAACCCACACAAGGAGAGGCAGATCTGCAGCCTGTGTGCTAGGCAGATGCCCCAGACAACTGGGGGGACGGGCTCCCCAGTCCATTTCTGTCCCCATCTTTAGGCACATGAGTGATCATCCAACTTGCTTACTCACTGGCACAATGACAGGGAAAGGAAAGAAAGTTGAGAGATAGGATTGCCTGCTGATATTTTTGGTGTAGGGAGAATTAGGAGTTTCAACACTTATTTCACAAAGGTGCTTTGCATGTAGCACCTGTGAGCTCTGGCATCCCCACTGCTGGGCTGGAAGGCAGAGCTGGACAGTAAAAACTTGAGGCCACCAGTGGCCACAAGAAGTCATCTGCGTACCCTTTTTCCCAACCCCAAGAGTGAATTTGGAAAACTAGTTGAAACTGCTGCTAATTGCATCAGAGGGTCAGGATTGGATCACTTGCCTCCAGGGCACTTGTGTGATCCTTAACAAACCATTTTATCTGAGTCTCAATTTCCTTGTAAAAGAGGATGATACTGGAATAACTTGTAATTGTGAAGATAAAATGAGGGAATGCAGGTGGGGGGAGGTGGCTCACACCTATAATCCTAGCACTCTGGGAAGCCAAGGCAGGAGGATAGCTTGAGGTCAGGAGTTCGAGACCAGTCTGAGCAAGAGGGAAACCCCCCGTCTCTACTAAAAATAAAAAGAAATTAGCCAGCATGGTGGTGCATGCCTATAGTTCCAGCTACTCAGGAGCCTGAGGCAGGAGGATCCCTTGAGCCCAGGAATTTGAGGTTGCAGTGGACTAAGCTGATGCCATGGCACTCTAGCCTGGGCTACAGAGACTCTGTCTCAAAAAAAAAAAAAAAAAGGAAATACAAATGGATCCCTATCCTGGAGGCCGAACATAGCAGGGGACTTGATACATTCAACCACAAACACCTAAGGCCCACTGTGTGTCAGGATGGCCATGTCAGGGGCTGGGGGTACATTCATAAATGTGCCCTCACATTGCTCACAGGAAAGGAGGGAGGCCAGATCTTGAACGAGAGGCACAGTGTGAGGTAATGGTTAAGGAAACAAGGTTGCTATCCCAGCCCTATCAGTCACCAGAGGGGTGATCCTGGGCAAGTTCGATTCTCTCTGTACCTTGATTTCCCAACAGTAAAATGAGACTGAACTGCACCCACTTCATAGGGTTGTGACATTACGTAAGTGGACACATGCAAAAATTTCCCAGCACCCACCAAGGCCTCAGGTAGCACACATGTGGCTAGTGTAACAAAAGGGGACGTGGATGTGTAACAGGCAGAGATGTCGATGAGGCCGGTGGCTGAGTGCCTAGCAAATGCAGCTGCCATGGGGGAGGAAGCATGTTCCTGGAGGAAGGAGGTCCCAAGGAGAGAAAGAGCAGGTGTGCTGGAGAAGGGAAGAAGGGGTGATGGGTATGAGTGACATGAAGAGTGGCAGCAAGCCAGTTTAAGGAGGCGGGTCACTGTGGGTCACCGGCAAGGGTTTTTTTGTTTGTTTGTTTGTTTGTTTGTATGAGACAGAGTCTCACTTTGTTGCCCAGGCTAGAGTGAGTGCCATGGCTTCAGCCTAGCTCACAGCAACCTCAAACTCCTCGGCTCAAGCAATCCTCCTGCCTCAGCCTCCGGAGTAGCTGGGACTACAGGCATGCACCACCATGCCCGGCTAATTTTTTCTATATATATATATTAGCTGGCCGTTTAATTTCTTTCTATTTATAGTAGAGACAGGGTCTCCCTCTTGCACAGGCTGGTTTCCAACTCCTGACCTCGAGCTATCCTCCCGCCAGAGTGCGAGGATTACAGGTGTGAGCCACTGCACCAGGCCACCGTCAAGGGTTTTAAGGAGGGGAGACAGTGACTTGATCAGGTTTGTAGCTTTAAAGTGTCAGGCCCCTTTGTATACATGGAAATATGGCGCACACTTGTCTTATGTATTAATGAACCCCCAGTCCCTAGCGCAGAGATAAGGGTAATTCCTTGTTGACCCTTATTCCCACTGATTTCCAGTCCCACCGGCTCCCACACCTGCCTGTCTTCTGGGAGTGGAGAGGGGAAGACTTAGGAAGGACTGGAGTGAGACCCAGCTGTGGCGGCAGCTGCGTTCTCCCCACCTACACCTTTTGCAACCCAACGGAGTGAAGGGTGCCTGGGTTCGAACGCTTGGGCAAAGGATTTGTCCCGAGGGTTGTGAACGTGCAACCACAAATGCAGTGACCGACCCGCGTGCCCGGCTCATAGTAAGTTCTCAGTAAATCCAAGTTTCACCTCTTTCCTCCTTAAACACTTGTCTCCCTCCTCGACCTGGGAGGGCCAAAGGTTGGGGGAGGGGAATGAGGGGATGGCTAGGAACGGACTCTTAGGAAGCAGAGGAGAAAGTTGGCTTTTAAATTCGTAGTACCATTTGCAAAGGGACAAACTGTTCGCTCCCCCTCAACCCCAACTAAGTCTTCACGGGGCAGGAGAGTGGGGGAGTAACCTGTTAACTGGGGAAAGGGTCCCCAGGGCCGGCCGGGGCACTGTGACTCAGCTGGGTCACCCCGCGCGCCACCGGGTTTAGGACCGCGAGCGGAATGGCCGGAGGTGGAGGCGCATTTCTGCACAGCTCGGGACCAGAGCCCTGCAGGCGGCGGTGGGGAGAGTCCGCAGCGCTGGTACCTGTGGGTATGTGGGCAGGGATTTACGGACGTGCCCACAGCCGCTCTAAAGAGCGTGCCCCCTACCTGCGCTCCTCGGCAGGGACGTGCTCCATCGCCACCCTCCTACCCTTTCCCCCAGCGGCCAATCCCACCTTGGCTCGGGCTCCCGGAGCCTCCGCCGCAGCCGGGAGGCGTGGCCACAGGCGGCCCGTCCCTTTGATATGCGCCGGCTCTGCTGTGATTGGATGGTCGCTTGTGACGTGTGGGGACTGCGGTGGGCCCGGCTGCTGCGGCAGCCGCAGCGCCGGCCGCGGCTCCGGCTCCGGCTCCCGGGCATTTAAAGGGGACGCGGCGGCGGCCCGGGGGGATGGGGGGCGGGTGGAGGGGACGGCCCAGACGCATATCATCTACAGTCCCTCGGGACTGGAGGGACTCGTGAGCCGGAGCCCAGAAACCCGGGGGTGGATAAGACACCGCGTCCCCTCCAAATCCCGTAAGCACCCCTTGCTCCATCCTGCGCACAAATACCTCAGCTAGTCCTCCTCCCCACTCCCTACACTCCAAGCTCAGCCGGGACAGACCTCTGCCGCCGCCGCCCCCACGTGAGTCCTGGGCTCCGGGAGGTAGGGGAGGGCTGGGGTCCCAGCGCGGGGTGGGGGCTGCGTGGAGTTTGAAGGCGCTCCTTCACGCGCCTGGCAGTGGGAGAGTCCTAGAGCAGAGGAGTGAGTCCCCTTCTCTCTCCAACCCCAGGAACGTGGTACCCGGGTGTACCTCTGTCCCCGACTCCCGCAAAGCCAAGGAATCGGTGCCCCCTTGCTCCCCGACACCCACAAATCCTCTCCCAGAGCTGCTCACCCCCCGCCCGCATTAGAGCGAAGCGCCCGCCAGCTGGGGGTGTGCCAGAGTGCCGGTTTTCCAGTCACCTCTAAAAATATCTCTCCCCCTACCCCACCGGCAGCTGCCACCTCCCTGCCCCTGCCCAGTGAGGATCCCCCCCCAGCATTTCTGCCCAGGCAGGGAAAGCCCAGAGGTGACGCCTAGTCCCAAATGCCTCATGGGCACCAGGGCGCCCAGTCGTCACGGCCAGCAGGTCAGGACCTCAAGCTCACAGCCCAAGGGGGCCCACAGGGCAATAGGGGACACTCCAGCTGCAGTTTGCCCAAGAGGCACCAGAGATGCCTGAGTTCTAATCCTGATTCGGATGCTGTGTGACCCCCATGATGTCAGCCTCACTTCTCTGGGTCTCTGTTTTCCTATTTGCTACCTGGGGGTGGTGAGCAAGGAAGACGGTCAAGCAGGGGACGCTGTCTGGGGGAGGGAGGGAGTTGCAGTTTAGTTGCTGGATCTGATTCTTGTGATTGGTAGGAGGAGACTTGTTCTTGGCCAGAGAGGGCTTGTACTGTTGTATTTCTGGGTCCTCATGCCCCCATCCTCATCCTGCACATTTCTGGTGGAAAACTGTCTCAAAACTTTCCTTGGGGCTCCATCCATCCATTAATAGGGGAAATTCAAACTCAGGACCCATGCCAACCAGAGGCCTATGACTCCCACAAAAGGCAAGAGGGAGCAGGTAGGTAGGAGTGTGACCTGGTGTAGGATCAGGAAGGCACTGCTTTTAAATGGGACAGAAATATGGACTCTCTGCCATCCCCTAGAAACCCTTCTCCTCTCCCTCTAGCCTGTGGAAGAAGCTCGGAGATTCTGCCCCCTTTTCTCTTTGGTGACCACAAAAGAATTTGATCACTCAGGACAAAGCTACCAGAGGTGAGAGACCATTTGGAACATCACAGGAGCCAGATTCCATTTGGGGACAGGGTCCCTCTGACCCTGTGGGGTGGGGTGGGGTGGGGTGGGGCACCACAGCATGGCCTCAGTTTCCAAGGGAAGAAACCCAGGATGCCTGGCTTTCTCCTTTGGTGACTAAAAGAAAGATCAACTCACCAAACAATAAGTGTTTAACTGATTTCCCTAAATATTATTATTAGATGAAAAAATGTAACTGTGTCTTTTACGATGAGAAATGAGAAGTTTTGAACCTAAAGATCAAGATAATATTTTTTTTAAAAAGGAAAGAAAAGAAAAGAAGGGCAAAGTAATGAGACCCTTTTCTATGAGTTGAAAGTTGGTCTCTGGGTGGCTGCTGGTGGCACTTTTCTTTGTATCCGCCCCTTGTTTCTCCCCATGTGACAGGTGCCTGCCCATGTTTACTTTTACCATGACAGTGGCATCCCTGACCTTTCTCCTCTGACTCACCTGGCCAAGGTTGACCATGTAGACAGCCAGGATTCTAGAAGGCTGGAATTCCCGAATGGGGACTGGGGATGGTCATTCCCATGTTCCCAATGTCTCCCACCCTTCCTTTTCTACTGTCTTCTCTTCCATATCCTCCCTCTCTTTGCCCACTGCCCATCTGGCTTTGACCATCTCTCCCAATTCCAAGATTAAAAGTTCTTAGGGAAAAAACTGATACCCACATCCCACCCCTAATGCATGAGTGGTCAGGGAATTGGGAGGGAGGGGGAACCTCAAGACAGAGAGTGCTACAGCCTGTGCCCTGCTCCTGGGATGTCCCAATCTCTGTCTTGGGGGCAACTGCTTCTCCCTGCTGTCCTGGGATGGTCAGGGGAGAGTGTCACCTTGACAAAGTCAGAGGGGTTTACAGAGTCACCCATTGCCACCACCAGAGGGCAGCAGCTAGCCAGACCTTTGCTACTCTGCTGTCTGATCTCCTGGATCTCAATATCTTTCCAATTCTGTCCCAGCTGCCTCTGGTCTCTGATTCAACCCCAGGGGGAGGGGTGGGAGAGTAAGAAGGCACTGGAAGCTATAGGTGGTGTCCTTTGTAGCTGTCTTGGTAAAGGTTTCAAGAGGCCAAACCCAGTCCCCAAAGCCACACAGTGAAGTCCAGCAGAGATTTCAACCTGTCTCTCTTGTCTGACTGCTGGATCCCTGAAAGCATAGGACAGGCCAGTCTGGGATCACTTGTGGGGACCCAGCTGGAGGCCTAAGCCACCCAGCTACGGTACAGTAAGCCCTGGGTCTTCTGCCCCTTCTCTTTTGGGGGCATAAGGAAGGCAAAGCTGTGGCCATGTGTTCGTGAACCAGGCTCTGCCCCATGCAAACCGCATGGCAGTTAACCTCTCTGAGCCCTTCTCATTTGCTGAACTCATACTTTTATGTTGAGCAGTGAGAGAATATGACTGAAAGTGATTTGTAAACTGTGATGTACCATACACACATCAGGGTCCAGGATCATACTAGAGAAAAAAAGCACTAGTCTCAACTCTGAGGCCTGGGTCTGAGATCTGTCCCTGCCACTTACAGTGGATGATCTTTGGACAAGTCAGGTAACCTCTCTGGGTCTCCAGTAATATCCTCTGGAATCTCTTGGGGTTGTAGGGGATTGCTAAGAGGATGCCTTAGCAAGGTACTGTGTGGTCTATAAGTGCCGGGCCTATGTGAGGGGTTGGTTTTTCTGAGACCCTGGGTGTGGCTCCTGGGGCTCAGCAGAAGGGCCAAGCCCAGGTGGATATTAGTGCTAGAAGCAAAGCCAGCCTACTGAGCACCCTCAAACAAACTTTTGTGGTTGTGACAGCTGGAGGCCGACTGAGTCCCTGCAGGTGGTGCCCAAGGTGATGTGCTGACCATGAGCGGGTGCTTCCCAGTTTCTGGCCTCCGATGCCTGTCTAGGGTAAGTGGCTCCCTCCAGGGTTCTCTTAGGATGAGGCCTCAGCCCCTCTCTTACCATCATGGGGTGGGAGGACCTTATCCAGCCCCTTTTAGGCTTGCTCTCACCTCCACTGGGGCTTCATTAATCCCTGGAAGCTTCCATCCCCAGTGTTTTACATCTTCAACTCCAGGAACCCTGAGCCACTGAGACTCCCAACTGGATGTTGGTGAGACCAGAGGGTGACTTTAGGGATGAGGCTGAAAGGACAGTTGTGTGAGGAAGGCAGATAGCCAGGTTCAAATCCCAGCTCTGAAATGAGGAATTTGGACTTGTTTCACAGGTGTGCCAGGCCATAAACATCCCAGGAATATTAGAGAGGGGGGTAGGCAGAAATCAGAAGGAGGAATGGTTCCACCTTGATTGACTTGGGTGGGAGGCTAGAAGGGAGAGAGCCCGAGTGTGGATATCCGGAAGCTGCACGTGATCTGCTCGCTCTGTCCCTCTCATGCACTGGCAGGCAAATGTGGCGGCTGTGCTGAGGGCTCCTGCTGACTCCATTTGTTTGCCTTTGTGCCCTGACACTTTCCCTGTTGTCTCCCATCCTCTCCCACGCTGCCCGCACCCTCCCTTCCTCAACATGACTCTGGCCCCTTTCCTGGGGCTCCCTACCCCTACTCTGCATTCCTGCCCAGTGGTCTGCCTCTGAGACCCCCTAGCATGACTTCCTCCTAGCCCCCCACCATGTCCCCATTACCTGCTCACTCCTCCTCTGCCTTTTCAGCCACTGCTGCTCTCTCTCCTCTCCCTTACCTGTCTCCCAGGTGTGTCGTGGCCTGGTGCGGGAGGCTCCCACCTCCCTAAGCCCCACTGCTTCTCCTGCTGCCGGCTTGCTTCGGACTCTGGCAGAAACCCCACCCGCTGACACGTTCCTCCCGGGGAATTGGCAAGTGATTAGTGATCAGCTGTCAGCACAGGGCCCTAAAAATCTCTGGAGAAGCTGTGCCCCACCCATGGACCCCTGCCCCTGCCCAGGGCCATCTGGTTGGAAGCAGCTCCCAGAGAGCCTTCCTGGGTCTTGTGTGGTCAGTCTACCTACCTGGTTATTCCAAGAGCTAAAATCCAGTTCTCTGGCCCTGAGGCTTAGGCACCTAACTCTTTAGACTGGCACTTAGTTCTCATCCAGGCCTCATTGTTCACGTGCCTTGGATGACTCCAAAGGGAAGGAGGAGTGGGCCTCCTTACTGTCCACCTCAATCCCAGGAGCCATCGGCTCCCCATGGTGCAAAAGGGATGTGTCTTTTAAGCTGACCCCTTGTTAAGCCCCACATGAGAAACAGAAGCCTTCCCGGTTCGAGAGTAGGATGGTCCTTTGAGCATAAACCCTAGCGTAGTTAACTGAGGTGCCAAGGGGGTAGGCAGGGAAGGCTGGGGATGGGGGTGGTGGTGTGGGGGACTCCTCCCAGCTTAACCATCCTTGGGTCCTCCTCAGGTCTTGGATGTGCCAGCACCCCTGGCCGTGGCCCGCTAACCAGCCTCTCCCCGGCCGGCTCCCGCCGCGCCTCCTCTCGCTTGCCCCTTCCTCCTTCTCCTGCTACTCTCCCCCCTGCTCCCAGGACGGCGGGATGGCCGCGCAGGGCGCGCCTCGCTTCCTCCTGATCTTCGACTTCGATGAGACTATCGTGGACGAAAACAGTGACGACTCAATCGTGCGTGCCGCGCCCGGCCAGCGGCTGCCAGAGAGCCTGCGCGCCACCTACCGCGAGGGCTTCTACAACGAGTACATGCAGCGCGTCTTCAAGTATCTGGGCGAGCAGGGCGTGCGGCCGCGGGACCTGCGCGCAGTGTACGAAGCCATCCCCCTGTCGCCGGGCATGGCCGACTTGCTGCAGTTTGTGGCCAAGCAGGGTGCCTGCTTCGAGGTTATTCTCATCTCGGATGCCAACACCTTCGGCGTCGAGAGCGCGCTGCGCGCCGCCGGCCACCACGGCCTGTTCCGCCGCATCCTCAGCAACCCTTCAGGGCCCGACGCGCGGGGACTGCTGGCACTACGGCCCTTCCACACACACAGCTGCACGCGCTGCCCCGCCAACATGTGCAAGCACAAGGTGCTCAGCGACTACCTGCGCGAGCGGGCTCACGACGGCGTGCACTTCGAGCGCCTCTTCTACGTGGGCGACGGCGCCAACGACTTCTGCCCCATGGGGCTGCTGGCGGGCGGCGACGTGGCCTTCCCTCGCCACGGCTACCCCATGCACCGCCTCATCCAGGAGGCGCAGAAGGCAGAGCCCAGCTCCGTGCGCGCGAATGTGGTGCCCTGGGAAACCGCCGCCGACGTGCGCCTCCACCTGCAACAGGTGCTGAAGACGTGCTGAGGACGGCCGCCTGCAGGGGGCGCCCCGGGCGGACGGGCGGAGGAGGAGGCGGGGAGGGGGGAAATGGGAAAGACAAACCTAGTTTAACTACTCCCTTTCCCTTTTGCTTTGCTATGTCCCTCGGGGAGTTTCTGGAATTTCGTCCCTTTGGGAGTTGGGGGAGGGAGATTCGAAGCCGTCCCTATCTATGCAGTTAACCCAGCTGCCTCCCCCAGTTCAGTTCCACCGCAAACAGTTAACTTCCGGAGTCTGGACCAACGCCAGGTGTTTCCACAAACCGTGCCCTTCGAACTGGGAGGAAGGTGCTCCTGCAGGTGAGAGAAGGAACGTCTCCCACTGCTGTAATTGAGCGCCTGACCTCCCCTCCTCCAGTCTTCTGTCAAGGGAACCCCGGACCCGACACCCTCATGGCCACAAGGATCCCTGCCTACTGTCCCGCCTCCTCGACCTTACTTCACCCACCGCAACCCCAGGCTATTTCTGTACTCGCTTACACCTTCTTGCCTTCCGCCCCTGGCCCATCCCTCTAGCACCTTCAAAGGAAAAAAATGCCGGAGAGACCAGCCGCCTCCCGGTGGTGGAACGAGGTAGCACACTGTGCCGCTTGGGTCAGGCCAGCCAGGGACCTGGCAGCGTGTGACAGTGTCTCCTCGTACCCCAGCCTCAGCTTCGTCTATGCAGCAAGAGACCAGGGACTTCACCAAAGTCGCCCCCACGGGCTGGGCCCTCTGCGCCCCGCTCCTCTCGTTTGGAACAGAAAGCCATGATGTTTTAAAGCAGAACCAGCGAAACCCCAGCCCCTCCTCCCTCTGGTGTTTTAGAACTATAAAGGAGGTGAAGGGGGAAGAGATGACTGAGATCTCTTGCGCCGCAGTCTTGGGGTTAGAGTGAGGTTGCTTTCTGCACTCCAAGAGCACCACTTAATTCAGGGATATCATCCCCATGCTTGGGCATGTGCCCAGCTTGAGAAACCGGGACTGAACACAACACACAGCGAGCTATGGGCAAAAGAGCCAGTTGCAGTCAATGACTGCAGAGGCATCTGGGGTCTAGTGTAGGTGGCACTTAGTGAGTACTGAGGAAATGGGAGAGAGGCAGCTGCTAGGGGCAGCTGGGCTGGGGGGGGGTGGGCTGTGACTAGCAAGATCCTTAGAACTGGGATGCCATTCAATCCATCTTCTCCCTTGCCCCCCTTCCTGCAGGGCAGTCATTGAGAGGTCATTGGTTTTATTCAAAGTTGGCACTTGCAGCTGGAGACCCCACCCTGCATGGGGTAGGGATGCTCTGTGCATGAACTTCTTGGCCTTAAGTGCTTTCCCCTTTGCAGCAGGTCTCTGGGCACCTCCTCTCTCTCCCTGAGACTCCTCACCTCCACGATGAGGAAACAGCTCACAGCCCAAGAGGTGGGCAGACCTAGTCCAGCCGTGAGTGGTGCTGGCTTGGCCTGGGGCTCAAGAGGCCCACGCCAGCAGAGCCTTGGTCAGCTGATCCCCAGGCAGTCAGCAGCTGGGCTCCACATAGTTTCCCGGGAAGAATCCAGAACCCTCTGAGCTGACGCCCTCACACCAGCCGTCGGAGTAGCGTCGGGTTACGCAGATTACAGTGCCCTCAGAGAAGGAGAGTTCGTTGTCCTTCTGGCGAGTGTATGGGTACAGTGTCACCACTGCAGGGCAGGAGGAGAAGGTGCCATGAGATATGCCCCTTGCACCCTGCCCTCATGGATATGCAGGGGCCTAAATACTGAACTCTAGAAGAGGAGGGCTTCCATCAGGCCTTCAGGACCCCTCCTCAGCTTAATGCTCAGTATCAGGCTAGCTGCTGTCTTCCCAGTTTGGTTCTAAGCTCAGTGTATCAGAAAGTGTGTGGAGGGTGGGGGCAATAACAGGCTCAGATCTTTGCAGAGGAAGGGAAGAATGCCTCTGGGGTAGGAGAGTGAGGGGTCAGGGCAACAGAAGCCAGAAACTGGAAGACAGAATCTGGTGTCCTTCAGTCCCAGGAGTCAGATACCTTTCTCCAAGTATGTGGCAGGGACCCAGCTGGGCTCATCTGGCTCAAAGCCTGGTGGGGGTGGAGGCGGCAGTCCCAATTCATCTCCATCCAGGGGCAGAGGAGGGGGCAGGTCCAGGGGCAGGGGCAGCTCCAGGCCTGGGAGGGAAAGCAGAAAGCCTGCACAAGTGGCACAGGGACCTCCCCTTCATTTGCCTATGGAAACTTCACTGCTGGAGAGCAGGACTCCAGAATCCACCCATTTTGTTATCTTCCTCCAGCCCTTACCCATCCTGGTCCTCCCACAATGCCTCTAGCACGTAGCAGGTGTTCGGTAAACATGGAAAGATTGAGCAGTATAAGTTAGCCAGACTCTGCCACGTGTTAGCTGGGTAGCCCTCCAGCAAGTCACTTAACCTCTCAGCCTCAGCTGCTTCGTCTGTTAAATGAGACCATACAGATCCTCTTAGGGTTAAGTTTAGACGAGAGAATAGATGAGAAGCTTCGAACATGGTCTGGTATAAAGCAGGTGCTAGGTTAGTTCACCTCTTCCAACTTCCCTCCCGTCCGCTCTCCTAGGACTAAGTTCGCTGGGGCTGGCCGGGTCTGATCCCTGAGGGGGGCCGGGTGGGGAGGAGAGGTGAGAAAGAGACCCCGGGGTCAGGAAGGAGGAGAGGGCGGAGCCCCTTACCCGGCGGGGGCGGGGACAGCTCCTCCAGCGGAGGGGGCAGCAGGAAGATCTGGTCCGCAGCCGGTGGAGGGGGTGGGGTCGTGGAGGCGGGGAGAGGTGGGGGTGGAGGTGCTGCCTGCCCCTTGGACGTGGAGGCCCCACCGACACCTTCTGCGCTGCTGAAGGCCAGAGACAGCAGGGCTCGGATCGGTTGGGGGACATCTCTAACTCAGCATCCCCAGCTGGCCCCACCCCTCCACTCCTAAGCCCCTCCTCTGACGCTGCCCCAACTCTGCACCTGTGACCGGCAGTCCTCAACCTCTGCAGTCACTGTGGCAACCCACAGGAGGCCCCCTCTCAAAACCACCGCCCGCCCACCCACTCGGACTTGTTTGTAGGGCTCACCCGGCCGAGGCCAGGGAAGAGGCGGATGAGGCTGCAGAGAGCTTGCCATCGGGCACCATGGGGAGCTGCACCGGCTCGGGGATCCGGGGGGTTCTCCTGCGGAGGGGGGTATCGTGAAGAGGGAAGCAGGGCAAGCAGGGGCCGGCCGGGTGCGAGGAGGAAGGGGCGGCTGACAGAGGAGGAAGTTTGGCGCCGGGCATAAACATGGCCTGATGGGCACAAGGCACCGGGTGAGGAGCAGAGTTTCAGGATGGCGCAGGGCAAGCCCAGGCTGATTTGGATCAAGGACAGGCCTCACCCCAGCGTGGCAGAGACGGGTGTGGCAGGCGCCTTGATGCTCTTTCGAGACAGGGTCCCAGTTCGCGACAGCTGCGTGCTCAGGTCCTGCGAAGGTGCAGGGAGTGGGACTGGCATCTTGAGGGGGTGGCAATCCCCACCCTCATCCCAGAGAGGAAATGGGGGAGGGGGCAGGAGAACTGGGAGGGAGGGCGTTGGCACAGCAAGTTCCCCCTTCCACTTCCCAGGCCCCTCTCCCACCCTTGCCCCAGCCCCACCTCCTCTCATCATTGCTGGGCCTTGGGCCTCAATTCTGCCGACAGCCACTTCCTCTGTGCAGCCACAGCGGGCTGAGTGGGCCCATCACCCCCTTCCCTCCCTGAGACCATGTGGGAGCTGGGGAGCTGGAGCCCTGGCTGGTCCCTAACTTTGATTAGACCCAATCCCAGCAGGGACTGAGGAGGGGGTGAGCAAAGGACAGGACACGTCACACTTAGAAATGTTCCACCTGTTATTTTCACAGACCTGTAGAATTGGCTTTGTGGAGTTCAGGGCAGAAAGGACCAGGACCCAAGACACTTAGAGAGAAGTATACAAATGACAGGGTGTAAACTCATATGCAAGACGACAACTCTGTTAGTGATGGGGTTTCCCCAAAGGTGAGCACATGGGAAATGATATTCTTTGCTCATTACATTTCATTGCAAACAAGACAAAAGGGACCTGAGCTGAAGCATAGTTTAAGTTGAGGGCCAGGCGGCTCGCGCCTGTAATCTCAGCAACTGGGAGGCCAAGGTGGGAGGATCGCTTGATCCCAGGAGTTTAGTTCAAGACCAGCCTGGGCAACATAACCAGACCCTGTCTCAAAAAAGAAAGAAAAAAAAAAAAGAATTTAAGTTGGACAATAGGAAGAACTTGCTGATGGGGAGGAGGCCTGGTAACCAAAAGAGATAGTTTATTTTCTCTTTTTTGGGGGGTCTGGTATGTTAAGGATATGAAGGGGTCATTTAGACACAGAGCTCCTAATCTAATCTGGGATGTCAAAGCGTGGAGACAGGAGTTGACAAATGGGATGGGTGTGTGTGCGTGTGTGTGCCCTCTCCTACCATGCAGAAAGGGATGGGCTGAGAAGAAAACGACAGAGCCATGCCCCTCTCTCTCCACCATGTTCCCTTCGTGTGGCTGCATCTCCGCCCCTTCCCACCAACAGTAGCTCTGGGGTGACTACTCGGTGCAGTGACCTCAAACCCCAGACAGAGGAAGTTGCTGTTCTCATGTGGCTGGGGAGCCACTCTCATGCACACCCTGGCCTTCTCCCTCCCCCCTCTTCCCCTTCCCACACAGCCAGCACCACAAGGGGGGTGCGCAGGATCTCAAACTCAGCATCTGAGCGCTGGGTAAGGGCCAGCTACAGACAGAGGGGATTATGGAGGGATTACAAAATGAGGGGGGCTTAGCATAATGGCTTCAAGGAGTGAGGAAAGAAAGGGGTTGTAGGCTGAGACAAGAACGAGCAGGAGAATTGGGGACCTGTAGAGAAAGGGGCCATGAGGCAGGAGAGGGCAGCTTGTGGGGAAAGAGAAGGCCCTTCTCCCTACCTTAATCCCATGGCCAATGTCATCCAGGCAGCCAAAGTTGAGGGGTCTCCTGTAGTAGGGCGTGAGTGGGGGCAGGCTCTCGGGGGCGATGACCTTCTGGCCGGGGGGCAGCCGCTGCACAGTGGCCAAGGTTCCAATCTCCCTCCGGGCCACCTTCTCCATATGCATGTTCACCATCTGCATGACAGGGTTTCAGGGGACAGTGGGGCGGCCTGTGTCCAGCGCCCTTCCCCCTGAGGAAGGAAGAGGACAGGGACTTTGAAGTGGGGGTGGGGATCATGGGAGGCAGTGAGGTCCAGACTAAGAGTGAATTTTGTCCCCAAGGCCACACAGCAATTGGGAAAAGAGTAGCAGGGGGAGGATGGAGCCACTTTGGAGCTACTTCCTGGTGGAAGCAAATGAGGGTTATTATTAGCTGAGCAAGAACAGTAGGAAAAGAGAAAACACCACCTCCCTGGGGATGCTGGAAAGAGACGAGCACGAGCGCGGGGCTGGCTCAGGAGCAGAGGGGGGTGATATGGAAGTGGCAGAGCATGGAGGTTGGATCAGCTCTCCCCTTTGGGGGACAAATAAGTGAATTGACTTCCTCTTGGAATGTTCCATGGAGAAACCTATAGCACTGAAAGGGTGGGAACTGCAGTCAGCTGGGGTGAGAGGAAAAGACACACCCCACGCGCTGCCCATGTGGGTGATGCGCAGGCCAGGAAGAATGCGTAGCCGGATCTGTGCATGTGCTGCGTGGGACATTCCTCGGTCAAGGATCCAGGAAGGAAGGAGGAGGGTGTGTGTGCTAGAATGGGGGGCGGGGGTGTTACTGTGTGGAGGTGGCAGTGCTTCCAGGGCTGAAGATGGCCTTGCCAAGCAAGCATCCTGGGTCTGGAACATTTATTAAGTCATCGCCTGATTTAGATGCAAACAGGGTCCATTAGTGTCTGTCCTGTACTATGCAGCCACTGTAATTAGTAGACATTACTTTCTAATGTCCAGGGTAGAATTTAGAGAAAGAAAAAGCTCTGCCTTTAGGGAATTCACAGTGTGATTGGGGCAATGAGGCCCACCCCTGAGACACAGCCACAGAGATAAGGAGGCCCCCAGAGCTTGGGTTTGCCCGTGGAGGAAAGCAGGAAGGAACTTTAGTTGCAGAAAATGTCTGAGTGGGCTGAAGGGTTGTGGCCCCATGCACAATGCTTCCTGCACCCCTTACCTGGTCCAGAGTGCTTACACGGGCTTCCACCTGCCGCAAGGCAGCTCCCTGAAGGTCCAGCATGCGCAGAGTGTGCCCGGCCAGGTTGCCCACCTGGTAGGCCACACTAGCCAGGGCCTGGGTGGTGAAAGCCATGGTCTCCTCCATCGCCTTCCGTTTATCTGTGGCCTGAAATACACACAGCCCAGGCCTGAGGCCAGCACCTCCCACTGAGTGAGGTGGGATGGGAGTGAATGCAGGGAAGTGGGGGCTGAACTGGGAGAGAGTGGCAACCCTTAGATGTTTGAGGTGGCTTCCATAAGAATGAAGTTGTAGGCCGGACGAGGTGGCTCACGCCTGTAATCCTAGCACTCTGGGAGGCCGAGGTGGGCGGATTGCTCGAGGTCAGGAGTTCGAAACCAGCCTGAGCAAGAGCAAGACCCTGTCTCTACTATAAATAGAAAGAAATTAATTGACCAACTAATATATATAGAAAAAATTAGCCAGGCAAGGTGGCGCATGCCTGTAGTCCCAGCTACTCGGGAGGCTGAGGCAGCAGGATTGCTTGAGCCCAGGAGTTTGAGGGTGCTGTGAGCTAGGCTGACACCATGGCACTCACTCTAGCCTGGAAAACAAAGCAAGACTCTGTCTCAAAAAAATAAAGAAAGAAAGAATGAAGTTGTATTAAGAGGGACTCTGGAGACACTGAAAAAGTGAATCTGCAGCCTCGGGAAATGGTAGCAAGGGGAGGGAAAGATACCCCTCCTCAAATAGTCAAGTCGAGGGTTGAGTCCAGATGAACTTGCTACCTTCCTGAAGACTTCAGGAACAGGGGGTCCTATTGAGGCTTGGGGTGGGGGTCAATAGTAGAAAGGGAAGAGGAAGGCACTGGTTTGAGCAGACATTCTTAAACTTAAAAGACAAACCAGCCAACTTCAAACCCCAACCTCAGACCTTCAAACCCTAAGAGTGAGGCCAATGAATGTGTGCCATTAAAAGCTCTCTCTCACCAGGTACGGTGGCTCATGCCTATAATCCTAGCACTCTGGGAGGCCCAGGCGGGAGGATCACTTGAGGTCAGGAGTTCAAGACCAGCCTAAGCAAGAGTGAGACCCCATCTCTATTAAAAATAGAAAAAACTACCCAAACAACTAAAAATTGAAACAAAAAATTAGCCAGGCATGGTGGAGAGGAGTGTCTGTAGTCCCAGCTACTCGGGAGGCTGAGGCAGGAGAATCACTTGAGCCCAGGGGTTTGAGGTTTCTGTGAGCTAGGTTGACGCCACAGCACTCTAGCCCAGGCAACAGAGCAAGACTGTGTCTCAAAAACAAACAAACAAAAAAGCTCTCTCAGTGACTCTTGTGTTCCTGATTTAGCTCCAGTCTACAGGTTGGTGTTTGGTAACTCAAATAAGGAAAGTGAGGACCAGAACAGAGGGACTTCATTCATTCATTCCCTCTAACAGCTTCCCTTGGGTCTGGCTCCTGCCTTCCTCTTTACCCCCACCCCCTTTTTTTTACTCCTCCAGCCACAGTGGCCATTGGCTTTTTGTCCCTGAGTGAGCTAGATTGTTTCTACCTCAGGGCCTTTGCACTTGCTGTACTTTCTTTTAGAATCCTTCTCATTAGCAGTTCTCAGCAACTCAGAGACACCTTCCCTAACCATCCTAGCTAAGATTTCCCCCAGCTCACCTCTTCATTGATCCTCTGTTATATTTACCCGGTTCTATTTTCTTCCTGACATTTAGCACTATCAAACATTATTTATCTTTTTATCTATTCCTCCCTCTACTAAAATGGAAGTGCCATGAGAGAAGGGAGCTTGTCTGTTTCATTCTTTATCCTACCTGGAATACTGCCCAACACACACAGAATACTGCATAAATATGCACTTGTGAGTTAATTAGCTGGCCGAATGGGAACCAAAACACCAGCTGGGCACGTTCCTACTGCATGCCAGGCACTGTGCCAGGCACTGTGCCAGGCGCCGGCCAGGGTCACACCGCCAGTCGGTGGAGGAAGGGTGGGCAGGGAGTAGTGAAAACAAGAGTTTTTTTTTTCATTCCCAGATCAGACTGTGGGGGCTGGGGCAAAACTTCTCTAGTCTTTGGTTCCCCAGGCAGCTTCCTCATTCCCGGTCCGGTCATGGAGTTTGCTAAACTCTAGCCTGTACCTTTCTCAGGCGGCAGGGGGTGAGTCCAGGGCAAATCTGGGGTAGGGGATGGACAGATAGGGTTGCACACTGAGGTCCCCTTGCTTGGGCCCTTGGGTGCCCCTCAGCACCTGTCACTGCAGAGCAGACCTAGAAATGATCAGAAAGGGGTCCTGACAGAGACCTGGTGCCTCCAGGGTAGCCCGAGCCAGAGCCTTCTGGGAAGGCCATGCTGTGGTTCTCCCCTCCCACCTTGCGGTTCCAACAGCGGGAAAGAGATGCTCATTTGCATGTCAATTTACATCTCATCAGTATATGTAATTGAAATCCCATCTCATCAGCATACGTCACCAAGAGCCTTGAGTAGGCAAAGAAATCACCTTGGGATGTTAAAACCAGAAAGGGTAACAGGTTTTGATCTAGTTCAAAACTTCCCTTGAATAAATGAGGAAACAAGCTCAGAACAGACCAGTGACTACTCCTCCATCTCCACCCAGATTTCTTAGCTTGCCTCTCTTCTCCTGCACTGTCCCTTCCCCAGCCTGACATGTGGAATTGTCAGCCCAAACAGGAAAAGAAAGTATCTGCTTGGGCCCAGCTCTGGGTGCCCCGAGCCTGGAAGCCTACTGACCCCTGACTGTGGTCTTGGCCCACAGTTAGGTCTGGAGGGACAAAGGTCTGGGATCCATTTTGGAGGCTGACTGCTTGTTCATCATGCAAATCGTCCCATCTGTAAACTCAGTCAACCCTGACTGAGGACTCTACAGCTGACCTCCTTAATTCCCCACAGGTTTCCTGACACCTGGTTGGGGGTGGGGAGGATGGAGGGCACGGGAACACGTCCTTATACAAGAGCAGTTCTGAGAAGTCATCCAAAACCTTCCTAGGCATTTGCTCCCCAGACAAAGATCCTCAGAGAGGCCAGGGAGGGAACTGGCTGTGTGGTCTAGTAGTTATCGTTCTTCTGCAAGAAGGACACAGGAGTCCAGGGATTCCAGCCTGGGTCAGGGCTTCCAATGTGCTGCATGTCTTTTTTTTTTTTTTTTTTTGAGACAAGTCTCACTCTGTTGCCTGGGCTAGAGTGCCGTGGCATCAGCCCAGCTCACAGCAACCTCAAACTCAAACTCCCGGGCTCAAGCAATCCTTCTGCCTCAGCCGTCTGAGTAGCTGGGACTACAGGAATGTGCCACCATGCCTGGCTAATTTTTTCTATATATATTTTTTAGTTGTCCGTATAATTTCCTTCTATTTTTAGTAGAGATGGGGTGTCGCTCTTGCTCAGGCTGGTCTCAAACTCCTGGCCTCGAGCAATCCGTCCGCCTCGGCCTCCCAGAGTGCTAGGATTGCAGGTGTGAGCCACCGCGCCCGGCCTGTGCTGCATGTTTTTGCAAGGACCACTTCTCCTCCTTAGAAGTGAGTGTTATTATCCATCCTTCTGATGAACGCTAATTCTTAAGGATAGGCACTGGCCTGAATGCTTTAATACATTGTCACATTTAACCCAGGTAAGCACCCCTGAAGGAAGGTGTAAGAATCAGAGGGGAAATTTGCCACCGGTCCTGCAGCTGGTAGGTGGCAGAGCTGGAAATTGGAATTGGGGTCTTTGTGACCCCAAATTGTGTGTGCACACCGTGTGTGCAAAACAGAACCCATGAGGAAGCACTTTGAGATATGCAGAAGTTATGGAAGGAATGGAAAGGACTCCTGTCCATCAGGGGAGCATGCCTGTCGTCTCTGGGGCAACCAGCTGGTTTGCAAGCCGCGTTCCATCTCATCTACGGGTTGGTCACCTGACATCTGCGCAGATGGAAATTATCCCCGGGGTAGCATTTTCAGCTGGTGGTTTGGGGAATGGGCTCTGGAGTCAGATTTCTGGTTTTGAATCTGGGCTCTGCACTATCGTGGAGACTTTTGGGAAAGTGACACAACTTTCCAAACCTCAGCTTCCTCATTGTGTAGTGGGAAAAGTACTCATCTCACAGGCTTAGGGTGAGGAAGAAATAAGGCCACGTCAGTAACATGCCTGGCCCAAAGTAGGGACACAAAGCATGTTAACTGTCATTGTCATTGACTCTCTTTAATCTCTCATTTCCCCCTAGGCACTTGCTCATTTTTTTCCCTTCCAACATTCTTACTATGCTAGGAGATCCCTGTGCCTCTTCTCACAGTTTGGTTAGTACATGTTAGAAAAATAAAGTTTTGCACAGGGGACAACAGGTTTAGCCTGGAGCTCTTAAGGAATTGGAGGACAGAGAGTGCACATAAACTGTCTTAAAGTCATGCAGCGTGTCAAGGGGCAGAAAGAAGGAAAGGAAAGAGCTCCGCGTCAAAGTCAGGGAGGCCTGGGCTGATGCCCGGCTCTGCCATTTGGAGCTATGTGACCTTGGACAAGGCACTCAGCCTCCCTGAGCTGCTGTTTCCACATCCACAAGATAGAAATTATAACACTTGTCTCATGAGGTAGGTGTGAGGATTCATGAAATGTTAGTAGTGTTCAATCATGGTTAAGTGGCCTGCCTGTCCTCCCTTGACCTGGGGTCTATATTTTCAATCCTGGAACAGCCACACAATTTAAAAAGCTCTTCTACAATGCCACCCTCCTCATCTTTTGCTGGAAGCCCGTGCCCAGCAGTCATGCCAGCCATTCCCCTGCTCTGTATGAGACCTCCTCTCTCTAACCCAGCCTTCTCTGCCTTCTCCCCGCTCTCCCTGAACGTCAGGGAAACAGCTCCGTGCCTCGCCTGCCTCAGGTTCCCTGGGCTGTTTGGGAAGTCCTGAAGCCCACTAGGGCCCTCGCGCCCAGCATGAAGTGTGAGGACAGGGCCTGGGTCTCCGGGGCGTCTGAGGGAGATGCACTGGGGTGACGCCTGAGACCAGGATAGAATCTTGCTGGCTGTCCGGCCACCTTCCAGCGCTGAGATGGGGCACATGCTGGCGTAGCATGGGCTCAGGGTTAAGTGTTGGGGACTGGGAGGAGGCCTGGAGTGGGAGGATTGCTCAGCTAATTCTCAGCTAAGAGCCTGACCAGCACCTGTCAGGATGGCTCCCATGGCACCGCCTGGGGCTGGGCTTCTGGGACCCCCCAGGGGCTGGGGAGTTGGGGCCCGGTGCCCACTCCACCTACCTGCACATAGTTGTCCTCGCAGTAGTTTGCGACCCGCAGCAGGGCGCTGTGGTTGCCCCGCAGAGCCTCCCGGCCTGTGGGGATGTCAAACTCCTGCAGCTGCTGCAGCTCCGCCATCACCCCCAGCCTCCGTCTGGCTCCCCGGGGAGCCCGCGGGTTTCGAGCCTCACCCTGCCCTTGATTGGTCGCTCTGCCTTCCCTCCCTCTCACTGCTTTTGGTTTCCTCTGCGTGAGAAACCCAAACCTGCCTGCAAAGGGCAGGCATGCTCATTCCCGGACAAGAGGAAGTCAGTCCCTGCTCCCTGGGCCTGCGCCTCTCTCTCCCCTGCCCGGAGGAAGGGGGAAGCCAGGGCCTGTTTGGGGGCCCAGCCCCCAATCCCACCCAGCAGAGGAAGCCAAGGTCGGGGCGGCTGTGATTGCTCCCTGGTCCTGGAGAGGAAACTGGTGGGTGGGGGGATGGGAGACTGGGGAGGAAGGGGGCTGGCCTGTTATGGGGGGTGGAGGTGGACTTTCCACTCATGGAAGGGGGGAGTAAAGGGCAGAGGGTGGGGGCTTCCTTGGGAAGCTCAGGGATGAGTCACCAAGGGACGAGGGAGTGGAGGGTAGATAGGATATGGAGACCAGTCACTGCGGGGGCTGTGGGGTAGCAGCACAGCAACAATGGAAAATGGCCTATGCATCAGCAAGAGGCAGGGTTGGCCCCCCAGAAGACACAACCAGAGGTTCTCAGAGAAGTGTCACCAAGCCTGCGGAGGGTCATATACGACAAAGATCTTCTCTACATGCTCTGTGCCTGCTGGAGGCAGGACAAGATGAAACGGACCAAGTGTAATGTGAGGAACTCAGATTAGACAACAGGAAGGACTTGGATTTGAGAAGCACCAGGCTCAAATTCCAGATTAACTTGTCAGTTTTAGGAAGCAGCCATGCACACAGCACTGAGCTTGGCGCAGGAGGTAGGGGCTGTAGGTTACCCATTAACAGAGGGTTGGACTCACCAACCTTAAGGATCTGTCCTGATCTCAGATTCTTAGAGCTCACAGCTTGAGTGGGACTCAGGTCCTGGAAGGGAAGTTAAGATGGACCACAGCTCCTTCCTACCTCTCACACCAACCAGTCTGTCATCCTAGAGGTAGGAGAATGGAGGGGGAGGCGTGGTGGCAAAAAATTGTGCCTCCCACATCAGACTGGGAGCTTCCTGGACTAGGGTGGGGCAGGGGTGTAGGGAGGGGGTGAATGTACCATATTGGTCCCTCAGCTCCTGCTCATCAAGAGAGTCCCTTGTCATTGCACAAGTGTCAGCCAGAGCAGGAGCTCAGTGTATGCTAGATGGCATAACCCTTGGGTGGTCCTGAGAGGAGACCATAGCCCTTGGGCGGTCCTGGGAGGAGACCAAGAGAAAGACCAGGATGTGGGACCTGAGATCAGGGACATCAGATAAAGGAGACCCACACTCAGGGCTCAGGGGAGGCGTGGTGTCAAGAATCATGGACACAGGCATTCGGGGTGGCCACAGCCCCCAGTGGCAGATGGTATAGAATCATAAGCGAGGATACACTTGTATCGAATGCGTGAATGGAGAGTGAGCTAGGAGAGCCTTGTAAGCTGAAATCCTGGGGAGCCAATGAGGGACACAAAGGCTTCTTGGTTAGGGAAGCTAGGGGCCGGTCTAGGACTTGTCTCATTGGGAGCAACAGCCTCAGAGCCGGCTCAGAGGTGGAGGGTGGGGAGGGGAAGAGGAGGAGGTAGGGAAAGGGCAGCAGGTGGGGAAGGGGGTGAACAATGGGGAAATTGAACCCTGGGGACTTTAAGCCAGCCATGTCACTAACAGAGTGAGGCTGATACAGGGAGCAGGGTGGGGAGAAGGTGTCCTCAGTTTCCTGCTTTGTTTTTGTGGGGCGATGTCAGTGTCTCTCTGTGCCCATGGCAGTGAGGGTTGGAGGCTCAGGCGGTGGACAGGCTTAGAACCTTGAGCCTATGATCAGCTTAGGAAGCAGAGATTTTGGTTTCCAGACCATCTGCTTTATCCAAAGATTTTCAGCTGATGGGGAGCTACAAGGCTCAAACACCATCTTGTCTGGGTCTGGGCCGAGTGACTTGGAGAGTGCGCTCTTCCCTGGCAGGTGAGAGGGCTGCAGTTGTCCTGGGCTGGGATCTAATCTTAGTGTTACTGAGGTTAGGCCTCAGGCAGGCCTTCCTGATAACTCTGCAGTGATAATAATGGCAATAGTTTTATTAGTAAAAATAATAATAAATGTATCATGTTCATTATGTGCCAGGCAGTGTATTAAAATATTTTATGTGCATTATTTTCTTAGTACTCACAGTAATTATATGAGATAGGTACGTACTATTATCATACCCATTTTGCAGATGGGGAAACTAAGACTTAAGGAAGTTGAGCAACCTGCCTAAGGCCACACAGTGTGGTAGTGGCAGAGTTGTGATCAGAGTTGGAGTCCGGCAGTCCCCAGGGCCCCTTCTTTTGGCCACTAGGGTACACTCGCCCCTACTGGACTGGAGACAAAAGAGAAAACTTCTACCAGGGTCATTGTGTGGAACAACAACTTTGTTTCCTGTATCTTCCCCACTGCAAAAAAAAACTCCTTTTTTCTTCCTTCTCTGCTGCCTCCTTAGACAGGTCCTTATCCAAAGGCAAAATGTGTGCCTCCCCCATCAGACTGGGAGCTTCCTGGGCTAGGATGGGGCCAGGTGCAGGGAGGGGGTGAGTTATGCTGGGTGATGAGGGGCCTGAAAGGGAGGGATACGGCAGGACAGGACAGAAGTTGAGGCGCAGGGGCAGCGGGAAGGGCTGATGGGATTTGCGACCCTGGCTGCTGAATCCTTCCCCGGGCCGCGTCTGTCCAGGGCAGGATGGCCCAGGAGCTCAGCGAGAAGGACCTGCTGCGGATGGAGGTGGAGCAGCTGCAGAAGGAAGTGAAGAACTCCAGGGCCCCGGTGAGCCTCCTCGCCCCTCCCGGCTCATCCCTTCCTGTTCCCGGTGGAGCTGGGACACGGAGGAGGAAGTGATGGAAAGGGATGGTGGTCCTTTCCAGGGCAGCAGAAGCGGCCGAGAGGTGCCTCTGGGACGGGGTAGGATGTAGGAGGCTGGGGTTTGACCCCCGAGAATCGCCACCTTCCCTGAGCACAGGAGAGAGCCTCGGGGTCTGGGAGGGCGTAGGGTGTCCATGTCACGGATCCTGAGAAAGCTCCCGGGGCTGTAACCACATCTTGTGTTCTCACAGATTTCCCAGACCGGAAAGGAAATCAAGGATTATGTGGAGGCCCAAGCAGGAAACGACCCTCTTCTCAAAGGCATCCCTGAGGACAAGAACCCCTTTAGGGAGAAAGGCACCTGCATGATAAGCTGATGGCTCTGGTGCCCTCACCCCGATTGTCTGTCCCTCCTCAGCCAGGACCAAGTGTCCTTGTACACCCAGGGAGCCAGCGAACTTTCACCTTCTGTTTGTCACAGAATGAGTAAAGATTCCTGAATGACGGCGGCATTGTGCATCCATTCCCCAATCCCACCTTCCTCTCTTTTCTCCCGTTATCTCCTCCCTCTCTGGGTCCCTGCTTCCCCGGCTGGGAACACTCCAAGGAGAGCTCCGGCTGGCCGAGCAGCTGGCACTCTGGACGGCAGGGAGAGCTGTCTTTAGGAAGCACTTACTCCTCCATCTTTGCCCTCCACTGTCTTCCCAGGAAAAGGGCATTTCCCCATTACAGTAATTTGGACTGGGGGCCCAGGGTCAAGATCCCCCATCTCAGGTCCTATCCTGTGGCCCTCTTCCTAGCCATTTAGATCCCCCCAGATGACCCTATGACAAAAAGTTTGTGAAGTTATGATTTCATGATTTATTTAATATTGTTGAGTGTCTGCTGTGTGCCGGGCACCGGGAGGGAAGAGTGGGTAGGACCAACACGGCTCCTGTTTTCACGTAAGTTTGCAGAGAAGTCAAGAAACAATTTACAATGAAGTCTATAAAAGCTGCCACGGGCAGAGTCAAGGGCGGTGTGGGAACGCACAGCAGACAGACGCAAGGGCGGTGAGCGAGCGTCGATGCAGGGCAGGTCAAGGTGGATGTGAGTGGACGGAGCACAAAACGGGGGCTAGTGAAACACAGGGCTGGAGAGGGGGGTCGGGCCGAGTCTTGAAGGACCTTTCTGTGAGCTCAGTCAGAAACTTGCTCCCTCATCCTAAGGGCAAGAGGAGGCCTAGGAAGGTGTCTGAGCAGCCGAGGGACAGGCTTCGCTTAGCAGAAGGGGGACTGGAGCCTGCTAAGGGCTGGGGAGACTGTGGTGGGCAAGACGGGTTCCTAGGCCTTGTCAGCAAGGAGAGGACTGTCTCAAGGAACCACAGACTAACCCACATTCTTTTTTTTAGAGACAGAGTCTCATTGTGGCGTCAACCTAGCTCACAGTAACCTCAAACTCCTGGGCTCAAGCGATCCTCCTGCCTCAGCCTCCTAAGTAGCTGAGACTACAGGCATGCGCCACCATGCCAGGCTAATTTTTTCTATATATATTAGTTAGCCAATTAATTTCTCTCTATTTATAATAGAGATGGGGTCTCGCTCTTGCTCAGGCTGGTTTCAAACTCCTGACCTCAAGCAATCTGCCCGCCTCGGCCTCCCAGAGTGCTAGGATTACAGGCGTGAGGCACCACGCCCAGCCTAATTTCTATATATATATTTTTAGTTGGCCAAATTAATTTCTTTCTATTTTTCTAGTAGAGATGGGGTCTCGCTCTTGCTCAGGCTGGTTTCGAACTCCTGGCCTTGAGCAATCCACCCGCCGCAGCCTCCCAGAGTGCTAGGATTACAGGCGTGAGCCACCATGCCTGCCCCGACATTCTTGATATAATGTCTGCATGAGATTTGGGAGGATCCCACAGGAGGGCTACCTAATCTCACTGAATGGGCACGTTGAGTCCTGGAAGGGAGGCCAAGAAAGACTTCTAGGAGGAAGTGCTAGCTGGAGCTGAGTCCTAAAGGGTTAAGTTGCAAAGAGGCAGATGGATGGCTCTTCTGGTTGATGGGCTAGTGTAAACAGAGGCATGGATATAAGAAAAAAGAACCTGGTTTGAATGGGAACACCGATGAGGCTAGAGTGGGGATGTCAAGAGGGAGGCCTGGATCCATAGGGTCTGCTGTTAGAGAGGTGGGCTCAGGTCTCACTTGTTAGACTAAACAATCTTATCTGCTGGGAGTGACTTGGTAATGTTTTTGGTAAAGAAATTTCCTTTGGACAAGATTGAAAGGGGAAAGAGGGAAGGCGGAGAGGGAGTTAAGGAGGAGCTTGTTAGATCAGGGGAGAGGAGAGAAGGCCTGAATTAGAGGCATGGCTATAAGTCTGAGAGTGGGGTAGGTTGAAGAGTTCTTTGAGAAATAAAGTTTTCAGAGCTCGATATTTCTTTAAGCACTGGGTGAGGGACAGTGGGTTGCCAACGATTACATCCAAGTTTCTGGCTTAGGAGATTTACTAGAAGGGATTGAAAGCAAGTCTCTAAAACAGACCTGATGTAACACAGCGATCCTACTTACAGCTGCAAACTCTACTTCCCTGCCCCAGTAGCCCGAGACCCAGAGGCATGTTAAGGGTAAGGTCACGGGGCCACCATGGTCAAAATCCAGGCTGTCCAGTTCCCAGTTCCATCCTGACTCACCATCCCACAACCTAGAGGAAATTCAACCACTCTCAATACACTACTCAAGAGAAGGAAAAGAGGAATAAGAAAGATAAAACATTGAAATACAATAATTCTTACTTCAGAAAATGGGAAAAGGTAAATATTCCATGTGGTTCTGGCAATATGAAAGGGAAAAGCAGGTGGGAGCTGCAGTCGCAGCATTCCTTTCATGCATGCCCAATCCTTCCCGCTAGCAAGTTAGGAGGATGACAATGATCATTCTGAGTGTGGATCATCAATGCCATCTGAGCCATCCCCACCACCAGCCCGCAGATCTTTGAGGTTTTTTTAGCCGTGAAAGAAAAGCACTATAGGCTGTTCTGCTGGGAGGTGCGCTTCCCAGCAGCCTTTGGACAGCACCTTACCTGTGCAAAGCAGTGTCTCCTGGCTGATGCCACCCTAGCTCTTTGTTTTTTGTTTTTGTTTTTGTTTTTTTCAAGACAGAGTCTCCCTCTCTCACACCAGATAGTGTCTTAGTCAGTTCTGGCTGCTATAACAAAACACTTTGGACTGGGTCATTTACAAAGAACAGTTCTGCAGGCTGGGAATTCCAAGATCAAGGTGCCAGCAGATCTGATGGCTGGAGGGGCTCTCTTTGCTTTTAAGATGGCACCTTGGGCCAGGCGAGGTGGCTTACGCCTGTAATCCTAGCACTCTGGGAGGCCGAGGTGGGCAGATTGCTTGAGGTCAGGAGTTTGAAACCAGCCTGAGCAAGAGCAAGACCCCATCTCTACTATAAATAGAAAGAAATTATTGGCCAACTAATATATATAGAAAAAATTAGCCGAGCATGGTGATGCATGCCTGTAGTCCCAGCTATTTGAGAGGCTGAGGCAGAAGGATTGCTTGAGCCTAGGAGTTTGAGGTTGCTGTGAGCTAGGTTGACACCATGGCACTCACTCTAGCCCGGGCAACAAAGCGAGACTCTGTCTCAAAAAAAGAAATTAAAGAGTCTTCTGTCCAGGTTTAATAGCTATTTGCCTTAAGAACTTATTTTAGCTTCTTATCAATTTCATAATGCTTATCTCTGAACACATCTTTGACTGCAAATTTAGGAATTAGGATGCAGTGAATGTTCCATGTGTCTTCTGATCTAAAGTTGCATGGTTGGTCTGAAAGTAGAGTTGGGTTTAATGTTGACTACTTGTATTCCTATATGGAGCAGTTGTTATTAATGCTGAAAAATCATTTTTTGCTTATGTGAAATAGAGATACCTGATACTCTATAGGTAATATTTAATAAATTGACTGGATAATGAAAAACAAAAAGAAATTGACATTGGTACAATACTATTAACTAAACTCCAGACTTTATTTGGATTTCCCTAGCTTTCCCACTAATGTCAATTTTCTGCTCAAAGATCCACATTACATTTAGTGCTTTATTTCTTTTGCTGGGAAGAGCTTCTCAGTTGGAGATAGCTGGGTCTAGGATGTCATCACCTTCTAGAAGACATTCCATAAGTCCATGGATGTGGTGTTGGCGGGGACATGACAGGGACTGCAAGCCCAATTCCTGAATAAGTGCCTAGTCCAGTGAGGGCAACTCTCTGTCCCCACCATTGACCTGCCATCGGAGAACTGGTGGGTTGCTCTGAAGTCTAGTACTGCATGAGGAGCTCAGGGTTGTCACGGGTGCTGGCTCGGTGGGCAGTGGTGGAGCTGCACTGACCTTGGGGAAGGGTAGTCCTTGCTGTTTCACTTCTGCATGGCCTTGGTTCCTGCTTCTCTGGCTGCTTGTTGCATGGGCCCTCATCAGCCCACTGGTCAACCTGTCTACGGCTTGTGAAGAGCCTCTTCTGCAGGGGCCTTTCAGGTAAACGTGTTTATGACATTTGACCATTTTCAGTGTCTGGGCTCACCCAAAAAGGTCCAGCCACATAGCTCTCCCCAGATCTCCTTGTCTCAGTCTTTCAATTATGCTGCATGACCGTGATCATCTGACCAGAGCCTTCCTTGCCTCCCAGGAATCAGGGAGGAAGGCATTCCTTTCTCTGCTGACTTTAAGGGCCGTGCTGAGAAGGGCAGTTCCCAAGGGAGGGGACTCACTACAGTGCAGCCTCCCCAGTGTGATCAGGACCTGAATCAGGGAGGTAGAGGAAGAATGGGCAGGAAGAAATGAATTAGAGAGATAATCAGGAGGTAGAAATTTCCGGGACCTAGAGATTGATCAAATATTGGAAGGACGGAGAATAGGCCATCCAGGATGCCCTCACATTTCCTCCTTGGGTGACTGAGTGAATGGTGGTGTCACCAGTTGGAACGCCATGCCCATCAGGTGTCTACGTGACTCCGTAGGCTTCTCCTCCCTCCCTGTGCTCTGTTGAGAGTCACTGAGAGGTGGTAGCTGCTACTACAAAAGGGAGCGAGACTGCTCAAGAGGGCTGTGTGGATCGAGAGAGAGAAGAGGGCCGGGAATAGCCTTTGGAGCAACTCAGGCTGGGCGGGGGGAAGGAGGGCAGACCAGAGTAAGAGCAGAGGGCCAGGGGTGACAGGGTGCCAAGCAGAAACTGAATGACTGAAATTCTCATGATCCGCAGCAGTAAAATGATGCCAAGGCAGGAGGAAGAGGGAGGGGATGCTCTTGAACTCCTTGATTTCCTGGTCAAATAACATGGAGCTGAATCACTCTCAAGTTTCAAGTTCCATATCACCTTCCTTCCAGACTCCACCAGGGACTCCCAGGATGGGACTCCTGCGGAGAAGGGGAGAGGGAGCCCAGGACAGCTGACTGCCTCAGCTCCTGGACAGCCAGCCCCTCCCACCCTGGGCCCTTGGGATCTTACCCATGAGCCTGGAGGGAGTGGGGCAGGGACAGGGTCCTATCTGCTTGCATCTCAGTGCTTTGTCACCCTGACCTCAGGGCCTCTAGGAAAGTCAGTCAGAGCCTCCTGCTCCCCCCACCCCCACCCAATTTCCTCCCTGGGCTGGAGGCCTGGGGACAAGAGCAACTTTGTAGGCATTTGCCTTTGCTGTCTTTTTTATGGCAGGCAAACACCATTGATTGGAGTGCTGTCACCTTCTTGAAATACTTAATTTTTGAAGGCGGGCGCTGCATTTTCATTTTGCACCGGGCCCCACTTATTGCTTGGCTGGTCCCGTGCAGGGAGACAGAGGCCCCAGCCTGATGGAGGAGGCACGATGCTCCTGCAGGGGCGGGGCTCCAGGGGGTGTCCAAAATAAGCACCAAGATGATCCTGCTCCCTCCCCTGACCCCTGCTACCGCATTTCTGATAGCGAGAAGCTGGGGGAGGGGAGGAACAGGAGGCGACTCCAGTCGTTTCTCAATGTCCCCTCAGCCCCTCTCACTTTCTCATTCTGCAGCAGACCACGGAAATGGGAGAAGTGCGTGACTCATTGCCTGTCGCGTCTGGGCTGAGGAAGCAGGAACCAGGGAAGCCAGGAGAGGAGAGAGAAGGGAAGAGGAGGCCACGCACGGACCTGGCTCTTCCTGCTTTCCCTTCCCGACTAATCACACTGGTTCCTAACCAAATTAATTCTCAAGGGGTCCACCTTCCAAACTTCTCACACATCTACCTGTTTATTGCTTTACTCCCTCTGCCACGCCCTCGGTTACCGGCCTGTGGCCTTTCACCCTGATGGTTGAACGGCGCCCTGCGGAACGCCCCTCCTTCCCCGCCCACTCCCCACTTGGCTGCTCGGGTATTGCCTGTAGCTCCCTGGCTTAAAACCTGCCGGCAATCTAGACTTCTGGGCACGGAGG